ATATTTACTTCCCGTTTACTAAATGACATTCAGTATGAATAGTAGAAAATAATATAATTATTAGTAAGTAATTTCACCTTATTTATCATACTGCAAATTACTAATGAAGACAGTAAACTATATTGTCTTTTAAAGTTCACTTTGCATAAATTATTTGCCTATGACAACTGAATCATTAATCTGGGACTCACTGTCCAACTAGAAAAGACTTCTAGACAAAGCATCTGCTATTGGTCTAAAACAAATTCATTTCAATGGCACATCAAATGTAGGCACTAGGATATGAAAAAGACAGATGTACTCAGAAGACAGAATGATAAAGAGAAAGGGAAGCATAAGTGTAACACAGCATATTTCTACCATATGGTAAAAATATAGCCATTCAGGGCCAAGCCCGTGGTGCACTCCGGAGAGCGCGGCGCTGGGAGTGCAGCGATGCTCCCGCCGCGGGTTCGGATCCTATATAGGAATGGCTGGTGAGCTCACTGGCTGAGCGCGGTGTGGGCGACACCACACCAAGGGTTGTGATCCCCTTACCGGTCACGAAAAAGACAAATATATATATATATATATATATATTTATATATAGCCATTCATATTTTATAAAATAACATCCCTACTCCTTGGCATATAAGAATATCTAGTTAGTGACTGTTTAGAATGTTTTTCTTGGGGATTATTTATACAATAATGCANGTTCACAGTAGAGCATGGAGTCATTTTAGTTACCCTTTTTTAAGAACCTAGACTCTGGAATCATCTACTGGATTGAATCTCTTCTCCACCATTTATTAACTGTATGCATTTAGGCAAGTTACTTAATCTCTGTGTCCCGGGTGCCACATTTGTAGACTGAAGATACTATTGCATGTCACCCATGGCAGACTGTGAGGGTTCACTGGCCTGTGACTATTAAGCTCTCAGTGCTATTAGCTCTTACAACCCACTCATCTTAGATGGATATCAGCAATGTGTTGCCATTCCATTTGTTGTTTTTTGTTTGTTTCATTTTTTTTTTAATTTTGGGGATAATCAAGAAGAGTACCTAATCTTCTTGAGTGGCAACGGAATGCTGTGCTATCTTGCAAGAGCTAATAATGAACATCTCCTCCCAACTCTGCATTCAGT